AGTACGCTTTCAAAATGAAGAAGAAGTACGAAAATGGATAGATGACTGGATAGCTTCAAAAGATGAAGACTTCTTCACACGAGGAATCCACAAGCTGCCAGAAAGATGGCGGGAAGTCATAGCTAACGATGGCGAATACATTGGTTAATGTACATTTTCAATTTATTTTGCAATAAATGTATTTTTAGACACAAAAAAAGGCGGAAACTTTCGAATTGACCCAATATTAAAGGACTTTTGACCAACAATGTGTTGTTTTTTGGGAAAAACTAATTAAACAACTTTTTTTCTGTCATCAAGAGCTACAACTTTACTGAATACTTCATGACTGAAAAACAATACCTAATAAGAACACGAATTGTTAGAATTCTGGACAAGTTACAACGTGTTACATTTCCCTCAAACGGTTAATAGCTAAGAACAAATCATTTAAATCAGTTTCATGATGAACCAATTTTTCATCATTCAATTATTTGAATTAGTTTCAATTGAAATAAAAAGACCAGATTTTATATTTTACACGATTTCGTATTTGTTTTTATTTAATGCAAATTGATAATCAAAAGTTGCGTCATTCGATGTTATCGATTTCGAGTGTTATTCCTTGGCAGCAGACAGCGACTTGTGAATCTTCTTATGTTGGTTGAGATGTGTCTTTCGCGAAAAGCTGGCTTTTCGCCAGTGTGGATTCGCATGTGGTTCATCAAATGTCCTTCCTGATCAGTTGTGAAGCTGTTGCACAAATGGCATCGGTATCCGCGTCGCTTGCATTTGGCTTCATGATTTTCCTTTTCCTTCTGTTGTGCGAAAATTCTGAAGCAAGTTGGAAACTTGAACTTTAATGGACGAGGATTGGCGTGAGTTTTGCGGTGGCGTTTCAAATCATTTGCTTGCTTGAATCTCTTTGAGCATTGGTTGCATTCGAATGGTCTCTCGCCGGTATGCACACGCAGATGATGTTTGAAATTCATCTTATGCACACTACAGAATTCCTGACACAGATGACACTCGTAGCGACGTAACTTGCAACCAGTTTCGTGTTCCACCTTGTCCTCGCTGCGATGAAATCCTTGCGAATAATTTGAGCAGCTGATCAGAAATTCATCGAAGTGTGTTTTCAGGTGCGATTGGAGATGTTGTTTTTGGATGAATCGTTTCGGGCACATGTTGCATGGAAATGGTCGTTCACCAGTGTGCTTGAACATGTGATTCTTCAAATTGGTTTTAATGTCAGTGACATAATCGCACAATGAACACGTTTGACGTGTAGTCGATGCTCCGCGTTGTGGTTTGTGCTGATGCGATGATGAAATAGCGATGAACGAACAGCGCACACACTCACACATACTGTGTGACACTATAGAGTCAAGTGTCAATCTTCGAAATGCGGTATAGTGTTGCCACAGTCACTTTCGAATTGAAATTGTCGGAGGACAATACCTACATCGTCAATCATAGATCTCTCTTCAAAATAACTCAATGAACCTCTTTAATTGAAAATTGTCTTCAAAATATAAATATAATTGTTTGGTAGAAAATTGAGATTATAGTAATATGTATTTATGTAGCGTAGAACGAATCGTTTAGATTCACTGTACGTTTACAAATAAAAATTATCTAAAAAAATATTTTGTATGTTGATTTACAGGAATTCCCAATGAATATAGAGCTCTGTTCCAAGCCATCACGTTCGGTTAATTTATCATTCCTATTTGCGTCCAACGAAGTCGATAAGTTGTTTCTTTGACTGAACAACATGTTCAACATCAGCTGCATTGCGCCTAACAACAACACCGCTGCCGCTTAGTTTGAACGAATGAAGAGAGCCCTGTTCCTTGGATTTCTTTCGTTGCAGTCATCCAAATGTCACGATAAAAATTGGTCAATTGATTGTAGACTTGAATTTTCCTTGGTTTTTGATCCTCGGACAATTCAACCAAATGGCTTGACCAGATGTTTTTGTTTTGCATACGGTTCAAAATCGTCTCCTTCAATTCGATGCGCTGAAGCTTCACGATTATTCCATTGTTGCATTGGAAAATTTCCTTAACATCGTCCTGAGACACATTCACCTCCAATATTTGGCATAACCTCTATAATATTTTGTGCAAACCGTCGTGTAATTTGTGTGGAGTGCCGCCGGTGTAGAGATTTTTGATCAGTTTACGCTGGTCTCCCAATTCCTTCATCAGTAATGGATCATATGTTGACGTGGCCTTGGCTTGAGTTGTGCTTTTTTGTTATTTTCCAATCCTTTGCTGGACACGTTCCTTCGTTAAATCCAAAGATTCACAAATATATGCGTTAAGCAGCATGCTGCTATCGTATTGGGTATCAAATGGCCAGAACTCTCCAGCCCAACATCTGAGTCAGAATGGCATGAAAATTTCAGGATAATTAGTGCTTAATTAGTGCTAATTAGTGCCGCTAATTTTAGAATTGGTGCTCAACCTGGGTGGGAGAAATAATTTTTTCAAGTTTAGGGGTTAGGGGTTGAAAAAACATTTTCGGCTGGGGAAGTTCAAATCGAAAACTAATAATACCAATATTTAGTGCCTAATTAGTGCCCGCAGAAAAACTATATCTCGGGGATTTTTTCACCCCCTGAGGAGGTGAATTTAGGGGATGATTTTTTAGGGGTGGAAAAATTCATCCCCAAAATTCATCCCCAATAGTACCAATAATTAGTGCCCAATTGGTGCCCACGAATAATACCTATATCACCTACATTTACTTGAATTTTTTTAAAGTTATAAGCATTTGTTTTATTTGGGGTCAAAAATGTCAACTTTGTCAAAATAAGGTCAAAACACCCTAAAAATGAATCTAATATTTAGTGCCCAATTAGTGCCGCTCCATTTCTCAGAATGTTCATATGTACACTTTCGATTAAATTATAGCCATGAAATTGTTTTATATAATCCATTTCAACCCTTTAAAAATCAAAATGGGGGTTCGGTGCGATTTTCAAGACCAAACATATTAAACTCGATTGATTCAAGCGGCACTAATTAGGCACTAATTCCTCCCCAAATTTAGAATATCTTTGCATTTGAAATTTGTTTTCTGGATTTTGAGAGTAGCGAGTGGGAAAAAAATTTCGCCTGGGGAAATATAAATCGAAAACTTATAATGCCAATATTTAGTGCCCAATTAGTGCCGCTCATTGCAACTCTGAAAATGTTCATATTGTACACCCTCGATCAAATTGTAATTGTTTTGCGAAACAATATATAATCCATTGCTATTGAATTCATCAAAATATACTAATTGCAATTGGCGAGTGTCGCATGCGCATTGTGAGATGCGGCGCGTATGCGATACCGTTAGACAAAGAATATATATGAATCACGTCTGTATAAGTGTCGATCCATCTACTCTACCACGAAAACTCATTTTAAATCTTCCTACTCCGTTTCAATACTGTGAGTAAACTCATTATTTATTATTTATTTATTTGAAAAACCGCAAAGAGGACATTGTTACCTTGATGCTCTCTCGGATCTGTTTAGTTGTTGTTCGTCTATGACGGTGGGTCTTAAACCTGAATGGGAGAGTGTTCACACTGTTGCAGGGACAACACATTATTTTGAAACCGATTCTAAAACTTGAGATTCTTGAGAACGTTGAGTCTTGACTAATTTTGGGCCAAGTTTATTAAATCTAACTAACATACACTACCTTGGATTGGAACCTAAAAATTTTTATTCATCATACGTTGCCATTCCATTCAATCATTCATAATCAATTATTTAAATATGCACAAGAGTTCTGTTCTAATCAGAATACGATTCATTAGAATTCTTGAGTTACAACGTATTCAATTAATTGAAATAAAAAGACCGGCATTTGATTTAGCTCGTATTTGTTTTTATTTAATACAAATTGATAATCCAGAGTTGCGTCATTCGATGTTATCGATTTCGAGTGTTATTCCTTGGCAGCAGACAGCGACTTGTGAATCTTCTTATGTTGGTTGAGATGTGTCTTTCGCGAGAAGCCCTTCGAGCATATTTCACATCGGAATGGCTTTTCGCCAGTGTGGACTCGCATGTGCTTCATTAAATCTCCTTTTTGGTCAGTTGTGTAGGTCTTGCACAAATGGCATCGGTATCCGTGTCGCTTGCAGTTGGCTTCATGATTTTCCTGTTCCTTCTGTTGGGCGAAGTTCTTGAAGCAAGATGAACACTTGAATTTCAGTGGACGAGGACGAGGATTGGTGTGAGATTTGCGGTGGTTTTTCAAAGCAGTTGGGTGACTGAATTTCTTTGAGCATCGGGCGCATTCGAATGGTCTCTCACCGGTATGCACGCGCAAATGACGTGTAAAATCGTTCTTATCCAGTGTAGAGAATTCCTTGCACAAATGACACTCGTAGCGACGAACCGTGCAACCAGTTTCATGTCCCACTTTCTCCTCGCTGCGACGAAATCCTAGCAAACAATTTGAACAACTGAACAAACTGTTTCAAATAATCTAAACTTCATAATATTTCTGGGTTCTGGAGTTCGAAATCAGTCATCTCAAAACAGTAGTTTAAAATCAAATCCCTTAAAATGTTCAGTCTTTAAATTAAAATTCAGATTCTAATCAACTATGTTTGATCTCGATGCTGCTGAAAAGTAACCGGTTGTTCAGTTGAACTCTCTCGAATATTCCACTTGACTGTGCCAGTGCTTATTAGAGTTTATAGTCACAGTAGCTCAGATTCGGTTTAAGAACTTTGATTAGTTTCATAATGAATCAATTTATAAAAATTCAATTACGTAAATAATAATAAATAATAAAAATTCCAGGTTTTATATTTGATACCCATTTGTATTTGTTTTTATTCAATGCAAATTGATGTTTGAGCAAAAATTGTGTCTTTACAAGTGATCGATTTCAAGTATAATTCCATGGGAGATAACAGCTACTTGTGAATTTTCTTCTTGTGTTGGTTGAGGCCAGTCTTTTGTGAGAAGCACTTCGAGCAGGTTTCACATTGGAATGGCTTTTCGCCAGTGTGGATTCGCATGTGGTCCATCAAATTTGGTTTATGATCGGTTGTGTAGCTCTTGCACAAATTGCATCGGTATCCGCGTCGCTTGCACTTGGCTTCATGATTTTCCTTTTCGTTCTGTTCGGCGAAGTTTTTGAAGCAAGACGAACACTTGATTTTCAATGGACGAGGACGAGGATTGGCGTGAGTTTTGCGGTGGGTTTTTAAAGAACTTGCGTGATTGAATCTTTTTAAGCATTGGTCGCATTCGAATGGCCTCTCGCCGGTATGAACACGCAGATGACATTTCAAATTCGTCTTATGCACACTAGAGAATTCCTTGCACAGATGACACTCGTAGCAACGCACCTTGCAACCAGATTCATGTTCTACCTTCTCCTCTTTGCGATGAAATCCTTGCAAACAATTCGAGCAGCTGAACAGAAATTTATCGACGTGTGTTTTCATGTGCGATTGGAGATGTTGTTTTCGAGTGAATCGCTTCTGGCAGACGCTGCATGGAAATGGTCGCTCGCCTGTGTGCCTGAGCATATGCCTTGCTAAATCGCCTTTATTGACTGTAACATACTCGCACAATGAACACTTGTGTCGCTTTCGATTTGCCCTGCCTTCGGTTGGCTTCTTCTTGTCATCGGAACTGTTTGATTTCTTATTTTTACCGGTTCTAGCTGCATCGCCATTCAACCCACTTGACTTCTGATTCTTGTCTTTAGAAAAATGCTTTTTTGGAATGCTTTGTGGCGTTTCGTCTTTGCTAAAGTTTCTTCCTGGAACTCGATTCGCCTCATCCTTGATCTTCTCGATCTTCACTTCCGATTTTACCTCATCCAGTTCGCAAAAATCGAAGCAAACGTCGCTGTCATTCACTTCAGTGACACCAATCAAATTGTCTAGCGATCCAATGGGTGTGTGTATTGGCCGTGACACCATCAGCATTTCGTTGGGACCTTCATATTCTTGTTTGACGGTCGGCTCCTGTTTGATTTCTATTTCACACGAAATCGATTCATTGTGCAATGGTATGACATCGGATTCGTGTTTATCAGGCGTTTCTGTACCGTGACCATTCATTGCGACCCAACGTCAGAGCTGTCAATTAGAAATCAGAATGACCTTTTTTTAGAACCACACATGAAAACTTGAAAAAATACAATTTTTTATTAAAACTCACCTTCCCGTGCGAATTATTTAATACAAGAAATCAATCAGAAATCAAATGTTTTATTTCGCTATTGCAAAATTAAATTGGTCGAAAATCCAAACTCAGCGGATCAACTACAGAACACAAATGGCGTGTTGGAATGACTCTGTTGAGCAGAGCGAAAATGGCGTCGCGAACAAAAGAAAATATTTATTTTGACGTGTAGTCGATGCTCTGTGATGTGCTTTGTGCTGATGCGATGATGAAACAGTGGTGCAAGAACAGCGGACACAGTCACACCCTGCAATGACAAGTGTCAAATGTCGAATTTCGAAAAATGGTGTAGTGTTGCCTCAACAACATTCGAACTTTCGATGAATTCGGGTTGCACAATGCACATTTAAAAGATGTACGGATTATAGTTTGCAAAGCAGCGCATATTTCATTTCTGAAAACTGATTTTATTCTTCGTACTAAGATAGATGTCATCTCTATCAAACCGGAAAAAAATCAAAGCTTCATGAAATAATAATTGCAATTTGAATTTACGAATGGATATTCGATGTCTCTTCACACATTTCTTTGGTACCGATTCTGGAACTTGGCACCGAATAAGCGTTGAATCTTGGCCAATTTCGGGGAAAGATCATTAAATCTAACCAATATGCTGCTGATCTCTGGGTTTCATGGAACCCAAAAACTGTTTCTTATCAAATGATACCAGTCAAATCGATATTCGGGACTATCATTGATAGAAAATAAAATATGGCATTTCCCTCACTATGTTGGCAGCTAAGAACAAATCAATCAATGAACCAATTTGTCATCATTTAATGAGATGGATAATTTCCATTGAAACAAAAAGACCAGTTCTTTATTTGATACAATTTCGTATTTGTGTTTATTTATTGCTATTGATAATCAAAAATTGTGTATTTCCATCTGATCGATTTCAAGTGTAATTCTATGGCAGCAAACAGCTACTTGTGAATTTTCCGGTGTTGGTTTAGATGTGTCTTTTGTGAGAAGCACTTCGAGCATGTTTCACATCGGAATGGCTTGTCGCCAGTGTGGACTCGCATGTGCTTCATTAAATCTCCTTTTTTGTCAGTTGTGTAGGTTTTGCACAGATCGCATCGGTATCCGCGTCGCTTGCAATTGGCTTCATGATTTTCCTTCTCCTTCTGTTGAGCGAAGTTCTTGAAGCAAGATGAACACTTGAATTTCAATGGACGAGGATTGGTGTGAGTTTTGCGGTGATATTTTAAAGCATTTTTGCGCTTGAATCTCTTTGAGCATTGGTCGCATTCGAATGGTCTCTCGCCGGTATGCAGAAGCAGATGATGTTTCAAATTCGTCTTATCCAATGTAGAGTATTCCTTGCACAGATGACACTCATAGCGACGAATCTTGCAGCCGGTTTCATGTTCCAACTTCTCGTCGCTGCGATGAAATCCTTGCGAACAATTTGAGTAGCTGAACAGAAACTCATCGACGTGTTTTTTCATGTGCGATAGGAGATGTTGTTTTCGAGTGAATCGTTTCTGGCACACGCTGCATGGAAATGGTCGTTCGCCAGTATGCTTGAACATGTGTTTTTTCAAATTGGTCTTAATGTTTGTGACATAATCGCACAATGAACACTTGTGTCGCTTTCCATTTGCCTTGCCTTCAGTTGGTTTCTTCTTGCTACCGAAACTGTAAGCTGTGCCCTCTTCCGCGGTTTCAGCTGATTTTTTCTTAGCCGCATCATAATCCGGTTCACTTGGCTCCGATTTAGAGTTGTTCTCCTCCACATTGCTTTGTGGCTTTCGATTTTTGTCAAAGCTCTTCCGTGGAACTTGATTTGCCTCATCCTTAACATTTTCAATCTTCACTTTCGATTTCACATCATCCGTACCATACAAATCGAAGCAATCGTCGCTGTCACCCACTTCTGTACCGCTAATCGAATTGTGAAGTGATCCGATGGCTGTGTATGCTGACCGCGACATCATCAATATTTCGTCGGGGCTTCCAATCTCTTGTTTGATGGTTGGCTCCTTCTTTATTTCCATTCCATACGAAATCGATTCATTTTCGATCGCGATGACATCAACTTTGTGTTTATTAGGCGGCGCTTTTCCGTGGCCATTCATCGCAATGCAATTTCAGTGCTGTCAATTGGAAATCAAAATGTCTATTAGAAAATAAACATGGAACAAACTCTTGAAAAATTGCACGTTGGCATTAAAACTCACCTTTTTGCTGACAATTTAGTTTGTTTTTATTCCGTGAATACAAAAATACGCTGGCCAAAAGGCAAAACTCAGCGAATAAACTATGGCGTGCACAAATTCAGTGTTGGAATGACGCTGTTGAACAGAGCAAAAATGGCGTCGCGAATAAAAGAAAATATTTAGTTTGACGTGTAGTCGATGCTCTGCGATATGCTCTCTACTGATGCGCTGATGAAATAATAATGAACGAATAGCGCACACAATCACACAGTGACTCACACACCGCAATGACAAGTGACGAAACTCGAACTTCGAAGTAGTACACTACACTGTAGTGTTACCACCACCGCATTCACTTTCGAATTTTTCGATGGATTTGGGTTGCCCATTTGGAAAACATACGAATTTCAATTCGCAATTTACAAAGCAGCGGATATTTAATTCCTGAAAATTGATTTTCTTCTTGGGTGAAATGTGAATTTGAAAATTCCGTAATAGATTTGTAATGTTACACTGGAGAATTGTGACATCTTTAGTCCTTTTAGTAGTGGAAGCCTTATGCAATATCGCATTTTGATAAAGTTCACCTCTATTCAACCACAAACAAATCAAGATTCCACCAAAGATATAATGATTGCAATAAGAATTTACGGCTGGATCTTCGATATCAGTGCTTTTCGTCTTTCCAAAAATGGCTTTGAAACCTATTCTGAAACGTGACACCGAATAACTGCTGAATCTTATCTTCTTTTTTCCCCAATTTCAGGGGAATTTTATTAAGTCTTAACTGACATGTCCTTGATCTGGGTTCCAGGGAATCTTAACACTTTTTTCCACCATAAGTTATCATTTAATTCGATATTTTAGTTTTTTCCACATCGAATTATCAGAAAATTGTTCACAATTAATGATTCAAGCAATGCACAAGGGTTCCATTTTGTACTGTGAGAATGATTTTCCCGTTCCAATAAAAATACGAATTGTTAGAATTCAAGCTACATCGTACAACTTTCCCTTCACACGGTTGACAACTAAATAAAAATCAATTCGGATTCATATGAACCAGTTTTTTATTCATTTATTTTCATTTGAGGTGAATTAAGAAGAACAGATATTTTGTTTCATGCGATTTAGTATATTTGTTTTCATTCAACGCAAATTGTTATGCTACTCATAAAATTGTATTTGAAATTGTCTTTCGATGTGACCGATTGCTAGTGCTATTCATTTCCAGCAGACAGCTACTTGTGAATTTTCTGGTGCTTGTTGAGACTAGCCTTTTGCGAGAAGTACTTCGAACATGTTCCACATCGGAATGGGTTTTCGCTAGTATGGATTCGCATGTGGTTCATCAAATGTGATTTACGATCAGTTGCGTAGGTCTTGCACAAATCGCATTGGTATCCGCGTCGCTTGCAGTTGGCTTCATGATTTTCCTTTTCCTTCTGTTGGGCGGAAATTTTGAAGCAAGTTGAACACTTGAATTTCAATGGACGAGGATTGGTGTGAGTTTCGCGATGGCGTTTCAAAGCAGTTGGTTGAATCTCTTTGAGCATTGGTCGCATTCGAATGGTCTCTCGCCGGTATGCACAAGCAGATGATGTTTCAAATTCGGCTTAATCAATGTAGTGAATTCCTTGCACAGATGACACTCTTAGCGACGAACCGTGCAACCAGTTCCATGTTCCACCTTCTCCTCGTTGCGATGAAATCCTTGCGAACAATTTGAGCAACTGAACAGAAACTCATCGACGTGTGCTTTCATGTGCGATTGTAGGCAATGTTTTTGGGTGAATCGTTTTTGGCACACACTGCATGGAAATGGTCTTTCGCCAGGGTGCTTGAACATGTGTCTTTTCAAATCGGTTGTGAAATCGGTGACATAATCGCACATTGAACACTTGTGCCGCTTCCTATTTGCCTTGCCTTCAGAGGGTTTCTTCTTGCTACCAAAACTGTTTGCTGTGCCCTCTTCCCCTGTTTTGGCTGAGCTTTCCTTTGCCGCACCATCATCCGGTCCACTTAATTTCGATTTGGAATTCTTCTTCTCCACATTGCTTTGTGGCCTTAGATTTTTGTCAGAGTCCTTCCGTGGAACTTGATTCGCCTCATCCTTAACATTTTCAATCTTCACTTCCGATTTTACTTCATCCAGGTCGAAGAAATCAAAGCAACTGTCGCTGTCATCCGCTTCTGCACCACCAATCGAATTGTCAAGCGATCCAATGGCTGGGTGTATTGACCGCGATACCATCAAAATTTCGCCGGAGACTTCGCTCTCTTGTTTGACGGTCGGCTCCTGTTTTATTTCCATTCCACACAAAATTGATTCATTTTGTAATGCAATGTCATTTAAGTGTTGCCTATCAGGCGGATCTGTGCCGTGACCATTCATTGTAAGGAAATTTCGGTGCTGTCAATCAGAAATCAGAATGACCTTTTATTAGAAACCACACAAGAAATAAACTCTTGGAAGATTACTATTTTTTCTACAACTCACCTTTCTGCACAAATGTTTTTATTACAAAAAATTGATCACAAATCAAATGTTTTATTTCGTTATGGCAAAATGAATTGGTCGAAACTTCAAACTCAGCGAAAAAACTATAGCTTGCAAAAATTACGTTTCGAAATGACTCTGTTGAAGAGAACAGAAATGGCGTCGTGAATAAAAGAAAATATTTAAATGCTCTGCGATGTACTTTGTGCTGATGCGATGATGGAATAATAATGGATCAATAGCGCACACAGTCACACACCGCAATGACAACTGTCGAAACTCGAACTCCGCAATGTGGTGTAGTGTAACCGCAGTGAATTTCGAATATTTCGATGAGTTCGGATTGTCTAGTTCAAAATTGTACGAATCATAATATGTAATTAAAGAAGCAGCGGATATTTTATTTCTGAAAATCGATTTTCTTCTTGGAAAAACTTGGATGAAATTGATTTTAAAATTTTTGAATATTACACTTTGGAGAATTTTACCATCGAGTGTAAGCTAAGTAGTCGAAACTTTGCGCAAAATTGCATTTTGATAAATTTCATCTCTACTTAACCACGAACATATCAACATTGCATGAAGGAAACAATTGCAATTATAATTTTCGGCTGGGCACAGATGGTTTTGAAACCGATTCTAAAACTTGAGAATCTTGAGATCATTGAACCTTGACTAATTGTGGGCAAAGTTTATTAAATCTAACTAGCATACACTAGATTCCAGGCAACCTAAATACTTTCATTTATCATACGTTTCATACGTTACCATTTCATTCCATTCAATTGTTCATAATCAATTATTTAAGAGATGCACAAGAGTTCTGTTCCAATCAGAATACGATTCGTTAGAATTCTTGAAAAGTTACAACGTGTAACATTTCCCTCCCGCGGTTAATGGCTAAGAACAAATCAATTAAATCAGTTCCATAATGAAGCAATTTGTCAACATTCAATTACTTGAATTAGTTTTAATTGAAATGAAAAAGCCAGGATTTGATTTGATTCGTATTTTTATTCAATACAAATTGGGAATCCAAAGTCGTGTCATTCGATGTTATCGATTTCGAGTGTTATTCCTTGGCAGCAGACAGCGACTTGTGAATCTTCTTGTGTTGGATGAGACTAGCCGTTTGCGAGAAGCACTTCGAGCATATTTCACATCGGAATGGCTTTTCGTCAGTGTGGATTCGCATGTGTCCCATCAAATTTGGTTTATGATCAGTTGTGTAGCTCTTGTATAATTCGCATCGGTATCCGCGTCGCTTACAGTTGGCTTCATGATTTTCCTTTTCCTTCTGTTGTGCGAAGTTCTTGAAGCAAGATGAACACTTCAATTTCAAAGGACGAGGATTGACGTGAGTTTTGCGGTGGTATTTCAAAGCATTTTTACGCTTGAATGTCTTTGAGCATTGGTCGCATTCGAATGGTCTCTCGCCGGTATGCACAAGCAGATGACATTTCAGATTCCACTTATCCAATGTAGAGTATTCCGTGCACTGATAACACTCATAGCGACGAACCGTGCAACCGGTTTCATGTTCCACTTTCTCCTCGTTGCGATGAAATCCTTGCGAACAATTTGAGCAGCTGAACGGAAATTCATCGACGTGTGTTCTCATGTGCGATTGGAGATGTTGTTTTGTTATGAATTTCTTTTGGCACAGGCTGCATGGAAATGGTCGTTCGCCAGTGTGATTGAACATGTGAGTTTTCCAGTGGCCTTTGTAGGAAGTGTCATAATCGCACAATGAACACTTGTGTCGCTTTCCATTCGCATTGCCTTCAACTGGTTTCTTGTTGCTACCAAAACTATCAGATGTGCTGCTTTTCCCGCTTTTGGCTGATCCTTTCTTCGTCGCACCATCACCCGATTCACTTGTTTTCGGTATCGGGAAACGCTTGTTCGCATTGTTTTGTGGCTTTCGATTTTCGTCAGAGCCCATCCGTGGAACTTGATTCGCCTCATTTTCAACATTTTCAATCTTCACTTCCGATTTCACCTCATTCAGATTGACATGATCGAAGCAATCGTCGGTATCATTCACATGTTCACTTCCAATCGAATTGTCAAGCAATTCAATGTCTGTGTGTGTTGATATTGATACCATCGCAATACCATCTTCTGGCTCTTGTTTGACGGTCGCCTCCTGTTTTATTTCCACTTCGGACAAAATCGATTCGTTTGGCAAAGCGATGGCATCGGATTTGTGTTTATCAGGCGGCTCTCTACCGTGACCATTCATTGCGACGCAATTTCGGTGCTGTCAATTGGAAATCAGAATGTTCATAGAAACCAAATATAGAATAAATACTTTGGAAATTACACTTTCGCATTAAAACTCACCTTTCCTTTTCTGCACACAATTAAATTTGCTTTTATTTTCGTTAGCACAAAAATAAAATGATGGAAAATCCAAACTTAGTAAATAAACTACAATTAGCGTGTTGGAATGACTCTGTTGATGCAGAGCAAAAATGGCGTCGCGAATAAAAGAAAATATTTAGTTTGATTTAGTTTGACGTGGTGTCGATGCTCTACGTTGTGCTTTGTGCTGATGCGATGATGAAATAGCGATGAACAAACAGCGCACACACTCACACATACTGTCTGACACTATAGAGTCAAGTGTCAATCTTCGAAATGCGGTGTAGTGTTGCCACAGTCACTTTCGAATTGAAATTGTTGGAGGACCATACCGTCATCGTCAATCGATAGATCTCTCTTCAAAATAACTCAAGGAACCCCTGTAAATGAAAATTGTCTTCTAGAAACGAAAAAAGAACATTTTTTCGAATCCAAAGCTTTGATTCGCATTGCTCTCTTTCCGCTGTGCAGAAGCTTTAACATAACACTTTGTATTTAACAAGCTAAATTTGTTCTAAAGACGAAATTCAAAGCATTCTAAATCAAAATCTCAAGTCGTTCCTTAAATTCATTGAAAAAAATAAGTATTTTATGAATGTTTGAGATTTGAATTGGATATAATTGTTTGGAAGAAAATTGAAATCAATGTAATATGTATTTATGCTAGCGTAGAACGAATCGTTTAGATTCATTGCACGATCACAAATAGAAATT